CTCCTCCTCCTCCTCCTCCGCGTCCTCCTCCTCCTTCTCCCCTCCTCCTCCTCCTCATCCTCCTCCTCCTCCTCCTCCTCCTCCTCCTCCTCCTCCTCCTCCTCCTCCCGCCCACCTCGCCGTCCCTCCCGAGCGACCCACGCCCGCGAGCCCGACGCGGAAAACCGCCACCTGCCATCGTCAACGTACACGTGCCCAGGCATGAGCTCCTCCACCTCGCCCGGACCCCACTGCGAGCCGCTCTTGCTCCCTGGCCGCGCGGAGGTGGCTCTTGCTCTCTGGCCGCGCGGAGGTGGGCAAGCTTGGGCCGCCCCGCCCGCGGGCGGGGCAGGACCAGGGTGTCCACACCAGCACAGACCTGCGAGCGGTGCAGGAAAGGGCCCCGAGACACACACAGAAACAGGCACAAAGCAGGATTCCAGGCATGCTCCATATCTCTCTCTCTCTCTCTCTCTATATATATAGATATACAAGACTGCATTGGCGCGTCGCGCCGTGCACCTTGGCCCATAAAGTTCGGCATGCAGGCGGGATGGCAGCAAGGCCAAGCCGGCAATTTAGCCATAACTCCTTGTTGCCATTTCTGGCATCGTCGTTATCATAATGTTATTCGTTATCCTTCATCAATGCTTATGTTTCTTCATTCTTTCTCGTGCGTCGACCTGGTGACGTGGCGCGTCCTCTCCCGCAGTTTGTGAGGCTGGTGTTCTCGAAGCGCTGTTGACGGCACCACCACCGGCTTTCCACCTCCCGGGACTTCGCCACCGGGCTCCTGTCCAAGGTGTACCTTTTCCTGCACATCATCTTCGGCACCGCCTGATCCCAGGGCTTCGCCCTCTCCCGGCCGCCGTGAGGCCCCGCCTTCTTTCGCCCTTTCTCTGCTAATTAAAGCTGTGCGCGTCCCGCTTAGCTTCCAGCGGAAGAGGTTCGCTCTCGCCCCGCAGATAAAAAAAAACAAGTTTCTTCATCCTCGCCATACCCTGCGCAGTCTCCGCATCCTCCTCAATTCTTTTTTGCGGAGGCTCCTCCTCGGAGAGCCTCTGGGGGCCTCACAAAATTTCTCAGGTTTTCTCAAGGCCTTTTGGAGGCCTCCTGGGCGTGTTCTGGGGTCCTCTGGGGGCTTCCTCGGGCCACCCTGCCTCCAACCGAATGACTGGGTCACGATTTGGAATGCTTCAGAGCGTGTCTTCGAGCCATCTTGGGCCGCAATGGGGCACTCTTAAAGCTATCTTGGACCCCTGTTGTGCCGTTTTGGGGCTGTCTTGGACTGCCTGGAAGCCCTTTCGGATAGTTGTGTCGGAGCGATCTCTGGGGGTATGACGGCTTCGTCGGCGTCGTCGTGGACCGTATGGGGCTCTCTGGGGTCGTTTCGGGAGCGCGCCGGAACGCCTGGAACCCGTCTGGGGCCGTCTTCGGGTGCTGAGAAGGCTTGGCGAAACGCCCTGCGAGGCCCGGGGGGCCGCTTCGAGGCCCGTCCGGAGGGTCCCAAAACCCCAGATCCCGGGAGTCCGTTTTTTTTTTTGGGGGGGGGACGGCTTTCCCCCCGCCCGGGCTTATAAAAATATAGGGAGAGGAATTCATCGGAGGTTGGGGGCCGAGATCGAAGTGAAACGGAGAGCGCCCCTACCGGGAAATCGATTTCGGTTTCGTGTTCGTGCCGTGCGTGCCGGCGAGGCGAAGCTGCGTGGGCGGGGGAAAGGAAATTCTCCTGTGGCTGGGCCGCGGCCGGACCAAAAGGTTCTCTGCCCCGCAACCGGTGGCGCGCGGTCCCGCCGGTGTCCCGCTGGTGTCCCGCTGGTGTCCCGCCGGTGTCCCGTCGTTGTCCCGTGGTGCCCCGTGGTGAGATCGCCAGTGAGATCGATAGTGAGATTGATAGTGAGATCGATAATGAGACCGATCGTGAGATCGATATTGAGATGATAGTGAGAGATCGACAGTGAGATCCATAGTGAGATCGATCGTGATATCGATATTGAGATCGATCGAGTGGGATCGATAGCGAGATCGATAGTGGAATCGATAGTGAGATGAATAGTGAGATCGAAAGCGAGATCGATAGTGGGATCGATAGCGAGATCGACAGTGGGATCGATAGTGGGATGGATGGTGAGATCGACAGTGAGATCGATTGTGTCCCGTCGGTGTCCCATCGGTGTCCTGTCGGTGTCCCGTGGTTTCACGTGCTGAGATCGATAGTGATATCGATAGTGATATCGATGGTTCAATCGATGAGACCGATAGTGAGAACGATAGTGAGATCGATAGGATGATCGATACTGAGATCGACTGTCAGCGGTGGCGAGCAGTGTCCCGCCGGTGTCCCGCCGGTGTCCCGGTGTCCCGCTGGTGCGAAAATGATAGTGAGACCGGTGACAAAATCGATTGTGAGATCGATAGTGAGATCGATAGTGAGACCGATAGTGAGATCGATCGTGAAATCGATAGTGAGATCGATAGTAAGATGAATAGTGATATCAATTGTGAGATCGAGTGATATCGATAGGGAGATCGATAGTGGTATCGATAGCGAGATCCAGAGTGAGATCGACAGTGAAATCGGTCGAGTGAGATCGATGGCGAGATCGATCGAGTGAGATCGATAGTGGGATCGACGGTGTGATCGATCGTGAGACCGATAACGACGTCGCTTGTGAGATCGATCGAGAAATCGATAGTGAGATCGATGGTGAGATCGATAGTGAGATCGATGGTGAGACCACTGTTGCTCATTGCTGGCCCCCCTCCCCCCCAACCTCGTTATCACCTGCAGGGTGGTCGTCTAGGTAGATATCGATTCTGGATGTTCTTCTCCCCCTCCACTTCCCAGATGTTCCACGTCTTCCTGGGAGCCGATGACTCTTCCAGTCTGTGTGTTTGTGCTTCCCTCCTGAGTGTAGCGCAACACGCCCGAGACGAAGCTCGAGGAGCAGCTCTTCGGCTGCCTGCTCTGCACGCTGCTCCTCGGCCTCAGGGCGAGGGGCGCAGGATGGCCGGGCCATGGAAGCGTCAGTGGGCGCCGAGCCGCGGCCTCGCGGGCCGGGCCCCTGGGCCGCGACCACGCGGCAACGGGGCATGCTTTTCTGCGCGCATGCCCCGCGCGGAGCGCATCCGTGCGATCGCGGATCCACGGGGTCGCGCCCCGGAGCCCAAGACCGCGGAGCCGCGGCTGCGGACACGCGCGCGCCCGCTCGCGAGCCAGACCGACGCTCGCCGAAGAGCGAAGGGCGGGATGGACGCGTGACCCCTGCCCCTCCGCCCGCTGGATACACTCCCCGTCCACTCCGGCGGAGAAGGCTCGGGTGGGGGCGCGGCGTTAAAAATAGATTGGTCTCCGTCCGCCCCCTTCAGGAGGACGGAGAAGGTGCAGCCACTGGATCATTGCAGTAGGGAGACGCTTAAATAGATTGGAATCTGGGAAATCAAAAATGCCTGCTTTCAACGACCGGTGGGTTAGCACGCTCCATAGAACAAAACCCGGCGCCGCCCCTCCCCTCTTCGCCCCTAGAGGCCTCCTACATGGGGTCGGAGTCGATGGGGTCGGAGGGTCGCGCCGCATCGGCGATACATCAGCGATGCATCGGCGATGCATTGCCGATGCATTGGCGATGCTCCGGCGACGTCGGCGATGCATCGGCGCCGTCGGCGTGAAGAGAGTCGGGCTCCACATCGGGCCGCATCGCCGATGCATCGGCGATGCGGCGCGATCGTCCGGCCCCATCTACTCTGACCCCATCTAGGAGGCCTAGAGTTAAATCGGGCCTGTCCCCCTACAGGGGGATTTTCGACGAAAAATAAAACATACCCCAAACATAATCAAAAAATAATCCAAAAACAGTCTGGTTTCTGAATATTATTTGGCCTTTTTGGGGTATTTTTTGGGAATCTTTTTGTTTTTCGCCGGAAATGCCCCCGTAGGGGACGGGCCCGACCTAAGCCTAGAGCCACGGTCCCTGGCTCGGGCCACGCGGCGGGGGCGCTGCAGCCGAGGGCGGCCCTGGAGCGAGGAGAGCAGGGCGCAGCGGGCGCGGCAGCGGCGGGCAAGCGGACCGGCGGCGAGCGGGGGGGGGGCGCGAGGAGGAGGACCCCGAGATCCTGGCGCCGCAGTCTCTTCGGGCCCCGGGGACCCTCGCAGATGGATCCGGCTCGAAAGCTGGCGCAGGGAGTGGGGTCTAGGTCTAGGGCTCCGGGCGTGGCTTGTTGCGATGCGGCAATGTTTGCGCAACGTCGGATCTCAGAGGATGCCCTCTCGAAGGCGGCGGTACACTTTTCCAACGCCCCTCTCGCCTTCCGAGAAGTCTGCAGTGTCTTCGGGGAAGGCTTCCGAGGACTCCTCAGAAGGCCGGGGGATGTCTGAACCTTCTGAGAAGGCATTCTCCGTCCTGCTTCCTCCCCCGGACGCGCCGTCGAAAGAAATGGAAAGGCGATCCTGGAGCGGGGATGTTCCGTCGCACCTGCGGGGGGCCCTCCCGTCATCCCCCTCCCCTTGTTCAGTGTGGCCGGAGCAGCTGCGCTGGCCTGCAAGGGGTCGCTGTGGCAAGACGAGCGCGCGCCGACGGCCCACCCGTGATGCTGATGGCGATGATGATGTCGACGATGGTGAGTACAACCATCGTGCAACAAGAGGGAACACTCAATACGAAACGAAGGGACTCTCCTGGTCACGGCGAGCCTGGGAAGCGAACAGGTTCCCCGACCAAGACGTCAGAAAGGGCTATAGGGCTATCGAGCCATCAGGCTCTAGGGCTCTAGGGCTCTAGGGCTAGAAGGCTATAGGGCTATAACGATATTGAGCTACAGGACTATAGGGCTATTGGGCTGTGGGGCTATGGGGCTATAGGACGAGATGGCCATAGAACTATAGGGCTATACGGCCATAGGGCATCCGGGCACCCGGGCGGGCCGCTGAAATCGGTGGCAAACCTCACCTGACCATAAGAATCCGCTAGGACCCCTCCAGAGGCAAGCTCCGATTGGTGAAGATTTCGGAGGTCTGCGCGGCACCGCAGGCGCCCCCACGGGGCGCCCAGCGCCAGCACAAGGACCCCGCGCGGACCTCCCAAATATTATGCTTATGGCACGTTTTCTTCTCCGACGAGACCCTGATGATGAGACGTTGCGGACAACAGTGCCGCTGCAGCAAGAATCTATCACATCGAAGCCCCAGAAGCCTCAGCGAGCGTGTGGGTGCATCGCCTTCGCGCTCTACCTAGTCAGACAAAAGCTCCTGCGCAAGAACCTTGAGAGCCTCAAACGAATTCCCGCCTCCGTGCACAAAGCACACGTTGCCGCCAGTGATCAAATTCTTGAAAGACTTCGCACCCGCATTGTTTTCCACCGTGACGGGAATACTCGCGTCCAACTTCATGTTATTCAGGGACAGCACCAGGACGCCAGCGTAGTCGAGAGCCACCTTGTCAGGGTTATGAAGGAAATACTCATTGATCAACATGCTCTCCGAGTCGGCATAGTAGTACATATCGGCGAGCATGTCTGCGACATCCCCGATAGGGCCCATAATGAAGCCTCCGTTCGCGAACTTATACGAAGGCGGAGTGGTGCAGTACCCGACAGTTGAGTTGGTGCAGTCGGCATAAGTTGTGGCAAACGTGGATGAAACGCCCACAGATGACAGAAAATTAGTTTGTGTCGTGGCGATGCCAGCTGTTTGGTCGTAGCGCCACGCAAGACCCATAGGCCAAGGGCTCACCTCAGCAGCCAAGACAACCTTCTGAGTGCCACCGCTAGCGGAGATGATCTCGTCGTACTTATACTGGATTGTGTTTTCGTCGCAACCAGCATACAAAACCTCGCCACTGGCATGAACGACGATCAACTTCTCGGTGTTGCGGGTTGACCAATACTCGATCCACGTCTTGATGGCCAAGTACCTGATCCTCTGCCAACCCCAAACTGTCGTTGCTCCGGCGGGATTCACCATACCGTTCAGATGCCTGACCTCTTCGCCCCCGATGCCAGTCATGCGGTAGCTCGGAGGCGGTTGGGTGGGTTTCTTGCTGTCCTTGATCAACACTCTGCCCATTGCGATGTTGGGCGGAAATCCATCCTGCTCACGCTGGGTCTCGAGAGAGTCGGCAAACACCTCGAGATCATACTTATCCCAAATGGGGTGCTCCGTGACGGAGCCAACATCCCTGTTCGACGGCCGGTTGAAGACCGTCTCCCACGGGCTCGGCAAAACCTTCCAAGACTCCCAGGCAAGGACCTCTTCTGCGAGCTCGGTCACCAGGGCCTCCCCCTCTGCACGCACACGGACAACGCTGACCAGGGCCAGCGCCTTTGCTACGGGACCGAACATGTCTGTGTAGCTTTATGCACGGTAGTGTCTGAAATGTACTAGGAACGGTACAGCAGAAACAAAGCGCCTGGAATAGCCAAGGCGACTTGAGCCGAAAGGACTCCGAACAGAGAGCGCAACATGGCACTCGTATATATATATATATATATATATATATATATACACACACACTTGCCATCGCTCGGACGTCCATTCCCTGTGTTTTTTTGGGTTTCGTGCGTGTTTTTTCGCCAAATGATCAAGGATGCTCCTCGATGGCCCTCGCCGAAGGAAAAATGCACACGTCCGAGCGATGCCAGGCACATGTACCAGACTGCATTGGCGTTTCGCACCATGCACCGTGGTCCTTGAAGTTTGGCGCGTAGGCGGAAGTCGCGGCGAACGGGCAGGAAGGTAAAGCAGAATCAACAAAGGTACCTCCTCACTGCCTTGTCCGACATCGTCGTCATAATGATGCTATTCGTTATCCTCCCCTCATGCTTCATCTTCTTCTTCTGCATTCTCGCCCTCCCCTGCGATTTCTTCCCCCTTCTCCTCTGCTCTTGTTGCGGAGGCTCCTCTTTGGAGAGGCTGCGAGCGAGGGGGAAGTGAGAAGGAGAAGGCCTTCTCAGAAGGCGGCGAGGATTTTCAGAAGGCCTCGAGCCTTCAGATAATTTGTTCTGTCTTCGGGGACGGCTCAGAAAACTCATCAGAAGACCAGGGGATTTCCGAGCCTTCTGACAAGGCCCGGCCCTTCTCACTTCCCCCCCTCGCTCGCCGCCGAGTCGCGGGCGGCGGGCCAAGGCGAAGCCCCAGACATGCAAGGTTAGGAAGAAAAACCTGCAGGCCTCGCGCGGCAACTTGAGCCCCAATGTACACGTCGGATTTGCATCGGATGTACGTCGGATTACGTTGCATCTACGTCGGATTTACGTCGGAGCTTCGCAGGAGCATCGCCGCACAAACGTCGACCCATATCTCACGGAACGGACGTGTGATCTAACAATGTAACTATTGCGCGCCGCGCGAGGCCTCTGGGACTTCCCTCCCTCATGGAGCAGGTCCTGAACAAAATGAGAACCGAGGTTTTTCTCAACCTTCGGTATCGGTGGGGCCTGGCCGGGCCACGGAACAATCAGAGAGCGACTTGGCAGAAGAAGCCGGCCCTGAAGAAAGGGTCGGGACTTCCAGGGACCGCGCATTGAACAAATCAGGACACCGCCTTTTCGGGGCGTCACCGAGGTCAGTCCAAGAGGAAAGCGTCATTGAACAACGCAAGGTTGTTGTGGGATTTTGGCTTTCTCACGTGTTCATCGACGAGAACATTCATGACAGCCAGTGAGCGCTAACGACGGGCCCACAAGAAACCCTCCCACCCACCAACACGGCCCCCGAAACCGCCAACAGGTACCCAAGAGGCACCCACAGGCTCCAAGGAGGCGTCACAAGAGACTCAGCAGAAACTCTCAGATAGAGGCCACCTGGATGGCGTCCGAGCAGATGGGGCCGGACGATCGCGCTGCATCGGCGATGCATCGGCGATGCATCGGCGACGTCGGCGTTGCATCGGCGACGTCGGCGTGGAGAGCATCGGGCTCCACATCGGGCCGCATCGCCGATGCATCGGCGATGCGGCGCGATCCCCCGACCCCATCCAGGAGGCCTCGGTCAGAAGGCCTCTGAGAGGCCGCCCAAGAGACCACGAGGCCTCCGCTCCAGGACCCAAGCTACTCGCCATCGCTCGGACGTCCATTCCCTGCGTTTGTTTCGGCTTCGTGCGTAGCCTTTTCGCCAAATGATCAAGGATGCTCCTCGATTGTGATCGCCGAAAGAAAAAGGCACACGTCCAAGCGATGCCAAGGCTAAGGCGGCGCGATAGGCCGAGGGTCGCCGATCGGCTCCCAGCGCTGGCCGCCCTCTTCGGCTGGGCGGGGGCGGGGCTGCCAGACAACTCGGGGAGCAGCCGATGGCATAAACACGCCCATCGGTCGGAAGAAGTAGGTAGAAACATGAGGTAGGAACGCGTTGGAAGTAGAGTGGGTCTTCGCCCGACCCCTAAAGAGGAGGGAAAAAGGTGAAGGCACTCGATCATTGAAGTAGGAAGGCGCTTAAAGTAGGCTGGAATCTGGGAATCAAAGCAAAATTATCCCAGTGCGACCCTACCTAGGAGTTGGAGGATCTAGGCAAGCAACATCTCTATGAAGCTAAGCTAAGCTAAGATGAAGCTAAGCTAAGATGAAATTACACCCATGCTATGATATGCAATGCTGCGCTATGCTATGCTACGCTATGCTATGCTATGCTGTGCTCTGCTATGCTAAAGCTCAGCGAAGCTAAGATGAAGGTAAGTTAAGCTAAGATCAAGCTGAGGTAAGATGAAGCTAAGCTGAGGTAAGCTGAAATAAGCTAAGCTAAGATGAGATAAGAAACGCGAAGCTAAGGGAACGTCACTGGGGGAAGCGCGGGGCGGATCCTGGGGGAAACGCCCGGGGCGAGCCCCACTGCCCGGCCCTTTAAGCCTCAGAGTAAGAACCCTTCTAGGCAGAGCGTAGGTAGGGAAATACATGCCTTCAGCGACCGATGGGTAAAGCTTCGGAGGTCCGCTCTGATTTCTCGGATCGGCGCTGCGCACCCCTCCCTGGCGCGCGGAGCGCGCCAGGGGCGGCGCCGGAGGCGCCGCTGGGGGGGCTCCAGCGCCGATGCGGGAAAACTCTGCGCGGACCATCAAAGGTGGATGTTTCACGGTAGTTATGCAGCTTGCTCCTCGTCGTCGATGCAGCACAAGCTCCGCCGCCACGGCTTCGTTGGGCCCCGCGGACCGAAGACGAACAAACACCATAAACATAAATTCTGGGCGCTCCGCGCGGACTTCTTGGATCCGCGCTGGACCCCCTTGGCGCGGATCCACGAAATCCGCGCGGGGCGCCAACAAAAGTTTATTTTTATGGCGTTCTTTCGTCTCCCAGCGGGCCTGGAGGCCGGCGTCAGGAAGAAGAACGACAGGAAGTGTAGCTTCGGCCCGAAAGATGCGAAGGTGCCCTCGGCCGTCTCGCCGACGTCCGCCGGGCTCGCTCCGCACAGCGGGCGCCCCCTGCGGGCGCACAGTGCGGCGTCGGCGCCTGGTCGCTACGCGGTGAGCAGGGGACCGCCTTCTCTTCGGCCCGCTGCCTCCTGCTCCAACTCCCCGTTTTCCTCCCCGTTTTCCTGCTCCTGTTGCCCCCCTCCTGCTCGTGTTCCTCCATTCTCCTCCTCGTAGGAAGCCTCCCATTCGGAGTAGATGCTGCTGCCTCACACTCGCGCTCCCTCCTCCGCCTCCTCGTCCTGCTCTTCTTCCTCCTCCCCCCTCTCACTTCATCCTGCTGATCTTCGTCCTCCTGCCCGTGGCCACCAAACAAATCCTACAATTCCCTGCCTGCTGCCTCCGCCCGGCTGCTTTTCTGCCTGCCCGCCCGCCCCGCTGGCCCTGGCCTCCCGCCTGGGCGTTCGTCGTCTGCCTGCTCCTCATCGCCCCCTTCCGCTGGGCAGCACAGCCTGCTCGGGATCAGCGTGGCGGCATGTTGGGCTTCGGAAAGAGGGCCTGTATTTCAGCCCGAGCTGCGCCGGGGTAAACAGATCCTCCATCCATCCATCGATCCACCCATCCGTCCACCCGCTTCTCTTCCCCCTCATCCTCCCCCACATCCCGATGCTGCGCCTGCTGATGCTTTTTCCTTCCTCCACCCCGTGCTGCTTCTGCTCCTGCTCCTGCTCCCGACCATTTTCTCAAATCCTCCCCTCATGTTTTTGACTGGGGTGCGCAAAAGGACGGGCCTCAAGACCGCACATCACCTTCGCTGTGCCTCGGGAGGGAGGCCATCAAACGCCCGCCCACCCCGGAAGCCCCTGTCGCGTGGCGCAACGCGCTCACGCCCTCCGCACAGCGCCGAGCCTCACAGAGGTTGACCCGGGACCGCACGGCGGCTTTTTGACGAGCGGACAGCAGGCGCCCCGCGCAGCCGCGCGGGGCGCCTGCTGTCCGCACGGCGGCACGGCGCAACGCGCCCGCGCCGGCGCCGCCGTACAGCGCCTTTGCGCCGCCGCAGCTGCACGGGCCCTGCCGCGCAGGCGCACCCCCCCGGCCTCCCGCCCAGAGGGCGGCGAGCGGAGGATGGGGCCTGGGGCCCCCGAGCTGGAGGGGACCCCAGCACGGGGGGGAGCCCAGGTCGCCAACCGGGGGCGCGACCCCACCCACCTCCGCCGATCCTGCGGCCCAGTCTCCGGCTCTATTTGTATTCCGTCGATACAGGCGGCGCCGACCGCCCCACCGGCTCCACTGGTGGGGGGGGGCCCCGGCTGTCCCCGAATCATTGGCGGGGAATTACTCCCCTCCTCCTCTTCCTCCTCCTCCTCCTCCTCCTCCTCCTCCTCCCCCTCCTCCTCCTCACGCGGAGAAAGAAGATGACGCCACGGAGGAGCAGCTCAAATACATATCGATCAAGGACACCATGCATCGAGCCCTCCTGCAGGCGGGAGCAATGCTAAACGATGGCAAGGCGCCAGCGGGAGTCATGGAGGATGAGTTGGCCGCACGGCTCGCAGGACTTTCATTGATTGAACGTGGAGGCCGTTCTATTTACGCCATGGACGATATCAAGCTCGGCGTGCGCGACGCCGTGAGCTGAGGGAAGGCGCCCGCAGCGTGCGGGCGACGGCGGGGGTCTCAGACACAGAGCGGGAAGCTGACTCCGCCCCCCGAGGCGGCTCTTCTTCTTCTTCTCCTCCTCCTCCTCCTCCTCTTCCTCCTCCTCCTCCTCCTCCTCCTCCTCCTCCTCCTCCTCCTCCTCCACCTCCTCCTCCTCCTCCTCCTCCTCATGGGTCGTAGTCGCCCTCGGACATGGCGGTCATGGCGGCTCTACAAGGGCCGCCCGCAGCCTGACTCAAGGGGAGAGGTTCGGGAAGAGGCGGGTGACGTCACGACGCACATGCCACTTCCGCCACCGCATGCCCGAGCCCGCGCTCTGCATGGCCTCCGTTCGGGGCAGACCCCAAGCAAAGGTGCCCAGAAAACTCATATGAATTCTCCTCGTTGTCATCGTTCATGGGCATCCTCCTCCTCCTCCTTATCCTCCTCTTTTGAAACGTTCGACCAATTAG